GCCTCCACCGGAATTCCATAGGTTTCCATCGGAATTTGATCGGCCGCCATAGGAATTCCATAGGCCTCCATCGGAATTCTATATAGGTCCCCATAGGAATTCTATTGGCCCCCGTACGAATTCCATCGGCCTCCATAGGAATTCTATGGGCATCCATAGGAATTCTATAGGCACCCGTACACATGCTATAAGCGCCCATCGGAATTCTATAGGCCCCCCCCCCCATAGGAATCCTATACGCCTCCATGTGAATTCTATCTAGGCCTCCATCGGAATTCTATAGCCCTCCATACGAATTCTATATAGGCCTCCATCGGAATGCTATGGGCCTTCATCGGAACTTTATAGGCCCCCCATAATTAGGGATTCGATAGGCCTCCTTACGAATCCTATAGGCCCCCATCGGAATTCTATACGCCTCAGTAGGAATTCTATATGCCTCGATCGGAATCCCATAGCCCTCCATACGACTTCTATATAGGCCTCCATCGTAGTTCTATGCGCCTCCATTCGAATTCTATAGGCCTCTATATGAATTCTATAGGCCTCCATCGAAATTCTATAGGCCCCCATTGGGATTTCCGAAATTGGCGCAGCCGTTGGGGCCTTCGGCGGAGCTCCCCGATGGGGGGCCCCGATCCTCGTGAGGGATGTGCCGAAATGGGCGCAGCCGCTGGGGCCTTCGGCGGAACTCCCCGATTGGGGGCCACGATCCACGTGAGGGGTGTGCCGAAATAGGCGCAGCCGCTGGGGCCTCGGATCTGAATAGGATCCGATACAGTCTGTATCGGATTTGTATAGGACCCTATACAGTCTGTATCGGATCTGTGTAGGACCCCATACAGTCTGTATCGGATCTGTATAGGATCCTATACAGTCTGTATCGGATCTGTATAGGACCCTATACAGTCTGTATCGGATCGGTATAGGATCCTATACAGTCTGTATCGGATCTGTGTAGGATCTTATACAGTCTGTATCGGATCTGTATAGGATTCTATACAGTCTGCATCGGATCTGTATAGGATCCCCTACAGTCTGTATCGGATCTGTATAGGATCCCATACAGTTTGTAGCGGATCTGTATAAGATCCCATACAGTCTGCATCGGATCTGTATAGGATCCCATACATTCTGTATCGGATCTCTATAGGATCCCATACAGTCTGTATCGGATCTGTATAGGATCCCATACAGTCTGTATCGGATCTCTACAGGATCCCATACAGTGTATATCGCATCTCTACAGGATTCCATACAGTCAGTATCGGAGCTCTACAGGATTCCATGCAGTCAGTATCGGATCTTTACAGGATTCCATACAGTCTGTGTCGGATCTCTACAGGATCCCATACAGTCCGTATCGGATCTGTATAGGATCCTATACAGTCTGTATCGGATCTCTACAGGATCCCATACATTCTGTATCGGATACGTATAGGATCCCATACAGTCTGTTTCGGAAGCTCTACAGGATTCCATGCAGTCTGTATCGGATCTGTACAGGATCCCATACAGTCTGTATCGGATCTCAACCGGATCCCATACAGTCTGTACCGGATCTGTATTGAAGCGGCGGCACGCCGGCGCGCATACGTTTTTCACCCATAGGACCACGTCAAGGTCCGTAAGGGAGTCCAGGGGAGTTCCAGGATTGCTTTGTTTTTTGTTTGCTGGATGCTGTTGCTGTTGCTGGGGGGGGGGCAGAATGCGTCCACGGGGCTCTGAGCGCAGCCTTCGCAATAAGGCGAGGGCGGGTCCTGACGGCTAGAGCTCACGGGGCTCTCACGCGCGTCTTTTCTTTGTTGCTGTCGTTGTTGTTGTTTTTGTTGTTTTTGTTGTTTTTGTTGCTGTTGTTGTTGTTGTTTTCATTGTAGGTCGGGGGCCAGGGGCGCAATCTGAGGAGGAATGCATTCCCGTATAGATGCGAGCCCCAGGAGGAGCACTTTCACTGAAAAACACCAGGTGCACCGAGAAGGAAGCTACAGTATTTCTGAGAGCGGGAATTCCGCAACCATATCGCCTTCATGTGGCATGGTTCTACATGCCACATGCATGGCAAGCGCTTCGTGGGGGGTCAGGGTCCGTTCCGGGCCAAGAATTGTCGGGTGGCGATGCCCAAGACTGGAGCTCCGAGGTCGGTTCGGGGCCAAACCAGGTGGGCACTTGGTGGGGGGACCTGGTTGGGGGTCAGGGTTGGTTCCGAGCCAGGAGCTGTCGGGGGGGTCCGAAGAATAGAGCTCCCAGGGCGGTTCCATGGCAGTTCGGAAGCCGGACCACGTGGGCACTTGGTGGGCGACCTGGTGGGGGGGGGCAGTGTCGGTTCGGGGCCAGGAATTGTCGAGAGGGGTGCTCCCAGGGCGGTTCGGAGGTCGGACTGGTGGGGGGTCAGGGCTGGTTCGGGGCCAGGAATTGCCAGGCGGGGGGCTTAAGAATAGAGCTCCCAGGGCGGTTCGTGGGTCGGACCAGGTGGGCGACCTGGTGGGGGGTCAGGGTCCGTTCCAGGTGCCCCCAAAAGGCATCGAAAGAGAAGCTCAGCTTGGTGTTGCCAGACTCTTTCAGGGGCTCTCGGGCATCCCCCGTTACGCTGCCCTGAGTCATCCTCGCGGCTGCCTTGCGCGCTTCTCTGGAGCATTACTGGGCTTTTGCAAAAAACAAACTGGACGATTCGCCCTGCACGCATACCCATGGCGCGAAGTCGTGGTCGACTTCGCCTCCATGAGAAGAGTAAACTGCGTCATCTGTCTGGTATTGTGTGCAGCGCAACATCTTCACGCGTCCCAGCCAGGCACAGTGCGGCCTGAGGGATCCCCATGGCCGCGCCCAAGACGGCTTCGACTGACTCTGGAAGCCCTTGAATGATCTAATTGCCAATCTTGACCCCAGGGTCACCAAGGGACCTCCGAAGAGACCTCCGACGTAGTCCGAGGGGCGTTCGAGACGCCCAGGAGACCTTCAAGACCGCCCAAGACGGTCCACAGGCCACGAGCCTCCCGAAACCTCCCAACATTTTCTTTCGGGCAGCTGATCGGTGTACCTGTTCAGTGCAGCGGGATCTCTCACGGCCTGTGTTTTCAGCATTCACGGACTCCTGAAGTGTCCATCAGGAGGCACGTTCCCATAAGGTGGTCATTCCAGGTCGATGTCCATCGTCATCCGATCCTGTGAGGTTGGACTGGGATGAGTTAGAACCTACTAGCGCGCGAAGCGCGTGGTTCTAGTAGGTACAAAGTTTCGGTGTGATGTGCTCTGTCTTCGAAAGGCCGGCGTCACGGCGTGACCCTTGTGACGTTTGATACGTCACCGACTATGTGATTGGATCGTGTAGTCTTTTCTCAGCAATCACACTATGTTATGTTATGGGTTATTTGCTTTTGTTGATTGGGTTAATATACGGCGGTGGTCTGTCGTTGTCGCATTGTTGTCTACGTCATGTTTTGTTATGTTCTCGACGGGACAGGGTGACGACGTGACGCTTGTCACGTGTGATATCATCAATTATGGTCTGGTCTGGTCCAGCGTTCTGCGCACTTGTACCTATTTCACATTCAATGTTGCTACGCAATGTGATCGTCGTTGAGTCATTGGATGTTTGTATGTTCTAGTATGAGCCGTCATGAGATGTTCAGTTGTGGTATGGTTTGCCATGCGTGTTCGAAACAATCACCGTAATATGGCTACATCTAGGGTATGATGTGCTATATCATTTGCTTTTATGTCAGATATCAGTTGCATCATGATTTGATAGGATGCACGTATGTGATTGAATTCGCTTGCAATATGCTAAATTCAGTTGTGTTGTGTTCCGATTATTTGTTTTGTTATGATATGATATGGTATGTTATGTTGCGTTGTGTTATGGTATGGTATGTTTTGCAACGGTTCTCCAAGGGATCCCCGTGGGTCCACAGGTGGTTTTGGGGATGGGGCGGCCGTTGTACGTGGTTGCCCAGCGAAGTGTCCCCGCGGGACAACTGGTGGTCCTGGAGATCTGGCGGCCGAGATAGCTATGCAGGGTGGGCTGGTCGGGAGCTCTGTTCTTAAGATCCGGCTCGCTCTTAAAAACTAACAGCCCCAACTTGCCGGGTGGGAAAAAACGCCAATAGCTAGGATGGGGCCAGGACGAGAATGAATCCGTGCCAGAGCGTCCCGGAGCGCTCTCAGAGCGCTCCAAAACGCTCTGAGAAGGCCGCGGCGCCCGATGCATCTTCCAGAGCCGCTGGATATCAGAGGTTCTCGATCTATCCACCCCCGAATTGATCCTCGTCCTTCTGGTTGACCCAAAAGGGGGTCCAGCTACAAGGGGGTGGTGCAATTTAGCTGGCGCGATAGACTTGCGGGTTGCAATAGATTTGGGGCGTGCAACACATGCCCCGGTGCAGATGCATTGCTGGATGTTCGCGGGCAATGCATTAGTTGTAAGACAATGCAATCCAAGTCCCTGGTGCAATAAGTTTGCAGTGCCCCAAATCTATCGCACCACCCCCCTTTCAGCTGGACCCCTTTGTGGGTCACCCAGAGTCCTGACTTCGCCTTGCATGGCGGGCCTGGGGACAGCAGCCAGCAGCAGGGCTGGACCTAGACGGTGTTTGGGCGATTCCGTGGGCCGCCTTGCGTTCCGATGCCGTTCTTGCGGTAAAGGGCGGACTGAAGACGGAACGAGGGACAGCGAAGACAAAACGAGGGAAACCGAAACCAAAACGAAAACGAAAACGAGGGGGACAGCGAAAACGAAACGAGCACGGAAAGCACGGCTTCGGTCCCGCCCTGGTCAGCAGCGATTTCGTGGGCCGTCTTCGTTTCGATGTCGTTATGCGGTAAAGGCGGACTGAAGACAAAACGAGGGAAAACGAAAACAAAACGAGCACGGAACGAAAACAAAACGAGGGACTGAAGACGAAACGAAACGAAAACAAGCGAGGGTTTCGGTTCCGCGCTGGCCCGCAGCGAGCACCTTCGGCGGCGGCGGGCGCGGCCGCGCCCCGGGGCGCGCGCCCGAGGCGGAGGAGCGCAGGCGGAGGGTGGCCCAGGCCGCGGAGAGGGCCGGCCAGGAGGCCCGCGACGTGGAGAGGCCGGGCCGCCGCCGCGGGTCGCCCAGCGTTTCGTCGCGCTCGCCGTCGTCCTCCTCCTCCTCCTCCGCCTCCTCCTCCTCCGCCTCCTCCTCCTCTTCCTCCTCCTCCTCCTCTTCGCTGACGGTCCATAGGGGAACAAGAAGTGACATAGACATAAAAACTCGGAGGTCCGCGCGGATTTCGCCTCCTCCTCCTCCTCCTGCTCGTCCTCCCCCTCCTCCTCCCCCTCTTCCTCCTCCTCCTCCTCCTCCTCCTCCTCCTCCTCCTCCTCCTCCTCCTCCTCCTCTTCCCCCTCCTCCTCCTGATTTCGCTTTCTCCTCCTCCTCCTCCTCCTCCTCCTCCTGCTCGTCCTCCCCCTCCTCCCCCCGCCTCCTCCTCCTCCTCCTCCTCCCCCTCGTCCTCCTCCTCCTCCTCCTCCTCCTCCTCCTCCTCCTCCTCCTCCTAGTCGACGATCGTTCGGACGGGGATTTGTTCCAGGCGGCGAGCGAGGGGGGGGAACTGAGAAGGAGAAGGCCTTTTCAGAGGGCGGCTGGGCTTCTCCGAAGTCGGAGGGACTTCTCAGAAGCCCTGTCGCGCTTACTGAGAAGATGGTGTTTATGTATGTATTCGGGGAAGGCTCAGAAAGCTCCTCAGAAGGCCTGGGAACTTCCGAGCCTTCTGAGAATGCCCGCCCCTTCTCATTTCCCCCCCTCGCTCGCCGCCTATGGTAATTCCGTTCCAGAGCGTCCCCGAACGCTAATGAGAAGGCCGCGGCGCCCAATACATCTTCCAGAGCCGCCGGATCTCACATATTCTCGATGTACCTTCCTTCGATGTTATCCTCGTCCTGGTTTCGTCTTATCGCTGTCGTCGACGATCGTCGATAGGTTCGGTAGCTGTGTGTCCTCGCAAGTCCATCTTCAGAGTGCATTTGCGTGCGCTAGCGTCTGGCAATCAATGTGAAAGCGCCGATTCAGCCTCTATGAGCGTCGATTTAGCATCGATCAGCGTCGATTCGCAAGAGCGCAGAAGTCAGCCGTGCTCGCCGTCGTCGACGATCGTCGATCGGCCGTTGACGATCGGCGATGGCCGCCCTCTCCATCGTCGACGATCGTCGATTGTCCTCGTCCTTGCCGCCGCCCGTTATCGACGGTCGGTCGTGTTCGTCGTCGATCGTGGATTGGCGACAGCCAGAGCTTCTCCCTACGCCATGGAGTTTCCAGAGTTGCCCCTGGGGCTCCTCAGGCTTCATGAGGCGTCCAGTGGCGTCCTTCAGCATCCCAGGGAGTCCTCGGGCCCTGAGGTGTGAACCAGAGGAGAAGGATCTTGCTCAGCCGACACTTATTGATTTCATCTTAGGAGATGGGAAAGATGTCGTTTCTCTTCATATTGTTTTGGAATTCTTCTGGATGCATGGTGCATGAGATTTCTTGTACCGCGAACATGCGGAACAAGCAGGTTAATCTCAAGAGAAGCAGGAATAGGAAAACGCAGAGGGTAAAAGGATCGTACGAAAAGGGTGAAGGGGAACAGGATGAACACGTTGCGTTTGAACAATTTCGTGTTCATCTGGAGGTGGTTGACAATGTTCCATTCTCCTTCACCTGTATCTCATGTGTGTTCCCCAAACCGTGTTCGCACTTTGGCTATCTTATTTCTCTCATTACAGTAAACCTGGATAGCAAAGATGGGCAACCTTCCGAAATGTAACCTTGCATCCTTGCCTCCTCGGTCCATCCTCGGCCACTCTCGTTGGCCGCGCCCCGCTCGAAAAACGTCGGAATGGGCGTCCAAGGGCCTTACATCCTTACTGCGCGTCCTTATCATACGGGTTGGCTGTAGTCGAACAAGAGAAACCGGCATAAACATAAACGTTTGGCGCTCCGCGCGAATGTCTCGGATCTGCTTTGGGCCCCCCCGGCGGCGCCCCGCGGGCGCCAAAGAGTTTGCACCACGTGCCGTCAACCAGCTTAGTAAGGATGAGCGATTTTCCAAGGCTGCCATTGCATCCTTCCCCTTTCCGCCTATCCTCTGCAATTTTCGCTGGACAGCCTCGTTCGGAAAATGTGAAAGTGGCCCTCCAAGGCCCTTGCATCCTTACCACGCATCCTTCTTGTACAGGTTGATTGTAGATTTTCTTTCCGAGAGAGATAGATAGATTCTTCCACCATCCCCCGCCCAGGGTCATCATACCCCCCTGGGACACTGCAAGTTACATCTGATTATTCCTCATTGGTCACTTTCCATGTGCGTTCAGACCATCCCTGTCAAAAAACACAATGCGCGCACATTCGTTTATCTCAGAAGGCGATGTTCCAAACATTCGTAGCATAAAATAGCACAAAGTTCACACGCACGCGGACTTGCCGAAAGCATATCTCACACCTCACAGCTATACAATAATATCGGACATGGATAGGAGTTGCTTGCCCGCACGCACTTGCTGGAACCATAAGAAATACATGAGCTTAGCAGCACACGCCAGAAGCAGCATTCGTATCTCACCACGCAGTGCATCCGCGATGATCCAGCATGCGCCCAGCGCACGAGTGCGAAGCATGCAATGCCATGCGGACCACGCGCGCGCCACCTAAGTCCATTGGTTATCGAAGCATTTCAAGATAGAGCTCTTCAAAAGCACCTCAAACTACAAATACTCATTAACGAAACGTTGGCCAGTGCCTTTGAATTCCTGCACGGCTGCAATTACCCACCACCCTCATCAGCGCCATCGCATCACCGTCGTTATCGTCATCGTCAACCGTCGCCAGTGCCATCACCATCAGCGAATCACGTTCATCACAAACACATGGGCATCATCATCGTCAGCGTCGCCATCAGCATCGGCACCATCATTGGCCTCGCCGTCGCCGTCGTCGTCATCGCCACCACCGTTGTCACTATCATCGTCGTTGCCGCCGTTGCCCACATCATCGTGACACCGCGCCCGCCCGAGTCACCGACCCGGAGTGGAGTGCCCGCGCGCCATTGCGGCTTTTGAAACGTGTTGGGAAGGTCCCACGGGCACAAGCCAGCGCGGCCACATCAGTTGTGCAAATTAGTTTGCCGTTCTTCTCGGGAGTTTGAACGCGCCAGCGCGGCCGAGGAGATGCGCTAGCCAGTGCCACGCACATGCGCAATAGTCGCCGCATGGTTTTTGCAAAACATGTTGCAAAACAAGTTGCAGGTTGGAGGGTGGGATATTTGCGCGAGCAGTCGGGTTGACAACAGGCTACTTACAAAACGCAATGGCACCACATGGCTTACAACACATAGCCTGCACCACGTACTTGTCATACATCGTTTGCGCCGCAATTCTTGAACCACCCACCTTGCATCACATGACTTGCACCATATAGCTTGCACCATATAGCTTGCACCATCCAGCTTCCGCTAGATTGCAACACGTAGTTTACACCACATAGCATGTACCACATAAGATGTGCCACATAGCTTGCACCACACAACGTGCGCCGCATGGCTGCCATGGCTTGCACCACCTAGCCTGCGCCACATCACAGGCACAACGTAGTTTGCATAACACGTGTTACACCGCATCGCTTGCATCACATACCATGCACCACATAGCATGCACCACATGACTTGCGCCACATAGCTAAATCTGCGTCCTCTCTCATTGTGGTGGGGCGTGAGGTCAGTGTGAAACAAAAAGGCGTGCGCCACATAGATTGCACCACGTAACTTGCACTACATAGCTTGCACTACATAACTTGCGCCGCATAGCGTGCACCACATAGCCTGCGCCACATTACGTGGAGAGCATAGCTCGCGCCACATAGACTGCGCCACAGAACTTGCGCCACATAGCTTGCTCCGCACATGTTACACCGAAGTGTTTGCATCATGTAGCTTGCACTACACAGCTGCCCCACATAGCTTGCACCATGTAACTTACACCGCGCAGTTTGCACCACAGACCTTCACCACAGCGGATACGTACATAGTACCACATTATTTTTCCCGGATCGATCGCACCCCCTGGTTGCACCACATAGCACGCATCACATTATTTGAACCACAGTTTGCACTACTAAATTGCGCCACATAGCTTGCACCACCTAGCCTCTTAGCCTGCGCCACATCACTTGCACCACACAGCCGCCCGACGTAGATTCTCCTTTCAAAATTAGCCTGGCGAAGGACCCAACCATATGCAGTTGCGAATACCGCAAATATGAATACCGTTTTCGGTGGCGCCACCTCTGGGTAGGGGAGACGCATGCAAACACCCCCACTGGGGCCTTCGGTGGAGCTCCCTATATGGGGCCACGAAACGCTGCCCTGGGTGGGGGAACCGCATGTGGACACCCCCACTGGGGCCTTCGGTGGAGCTCCCTATGGGGCCACGAAACGCTGCCCTGGGTGGGGGAACCGCATGCGAACACCCCCACTGGGGCCTTCGGTGGAGCTCCCTATGGGGCCACGAAACGCTGCCCTGGGTGGGGGAACCGCATGCGAACACCCCCACTGGGGCCTTCGGTGGAGCTCCCTATGGGGCCACGAAACGCTGCCCTGGGTGGGGGAACCGCATGCGGACACCCCCACTGGGGCCTTCGGTGGAGCTCCCTATGGGGCCACGAAACGCTGCCCTGGGTGGGGGAACCGCATGTGGACACCCCCACTGGGGCCTTCGGTGGAGCTCCCTATGGGGCCACGAAACGCTGCCCTGGGTGGGGGAACCGCATGTGGACACCCCCACTGGGGCCTTCGGTGGAGCTCCCTATGGGGCTACGAAACGCTGCCCTGGGTGGGGGAACCGCATGTGGACACCCCCACTGGGGCCTTCGGTGGAGCTCCCTATGGGGCCACGAAACGCTGCCCTGGGTGGGGGAACCGCATGTGGACACCCCCACTGGGGCCTTCGGTGGAGCTCCCTATGGGGCCACGAAACGCTGCCCTGGGTGGGGGAACCGCATGCGGAACACCCCCACTGGGGCCTTCGGTGGAGCTCCCTATGGGGCCACGAAACGCTGCCCTGGGTGGGGGAACCGCATGTGGA